GCTAAGCAAGTTTTTGTACTTGGTGACTTTAATCTTTATTGAAGTGCCATTCAAAGGCTTTAGTATTGAAAAGTTAAAACACGGACGCCCAACTTTTGAGGTTGCCATTAAGCAACTGCTAAACTCTACATCAATGTTTAGGGTACTCTTGTATCGAAATGTTAGTCACTATTTTTTTTTTGGATCGTTCATAATTTCATTGAACGGCGAAAAAGAGTAAAAATCGTCTTTGTTCATATTGTACATAATTTGGCCGATGTGCTTCTTATTACAGTCTCCCAATCTGCGGGGACAAAAACTTGAGGGAATTGCCTTTTTTTCTTCTCGATTAAGCCAAAACTACGGTCACATTCCATGTAAGTGTGCCCGGGTTCAAGGAACTTGTGATGAATCTCAGATATATCTGTAGCTAGAACAATAACTCTAAATAGTTTAGCAATGTTTTTATTCTTATTTTGTCCTCCACACGAATCACTGTATGCAATAATCTTCGTAACTGTAGATGGAAGGCTTTGTACAAATTTTATTAAACATGATCCTATCTCCTGTGAGCCCCTGGATGCAATAGTTTCATTCCATACATACATATAAGTTTTTTCAGTCAGTAAGTCAAATGCACAGAAATTATACGTCCATAACTGACGAAGATAAAATACTTTAGAGGTGGTTAACAATGGCGTCGGCAATGCCTGTTGCAAATCAAAACAAATTACTGCCGTATTTTTAGAATCATTTTTATTTTCAGCAATATCAGCTTTTTTGGCATCTGTTGCGTTCTGGGCCTTTCTTTGATGCAGCTCGAGGTCTTGCTTGGCATTTTTAATCACGTCTTCATTTGTTGAATTTTTTCTTAAATTTTGTAAATTGTCACAACGACTGCAGGTATCACTATAGAGCTTGTGGAATCTTAAATTGAATTCCGTATTGAAAATATGCCTCTCTTGATATAATTCGTACATCTTATTGATACTTAATTCTCCTGAGAGATACCTTGCGTTCCCAATCAGTACTCATTTTGTTTATTATTATAACACTACCAACACTGCAAAATGCGTATTTTTAACTAAGAATACTCCAAACCCCTCAATTGTTTTTGACCATCAAATAGATTTTAGTATTATCTCTCAATCTAGGGAAATTATTGTTTTATATGAACGTTGTGTAGCCTTTTACGCTACTGGGCAAGAAAGTAGGTATTGTAATCCCAACAATGGGATGTTTTTTTGGGTGACTGTCTGTGTGCTAATCGTTGGCCCGTCTATAACTTTGAAAGCACCGCTTGGATTTAATGCCAAGGACGACAAAGGTTTATAGTTTTTAAAAATTAGTTTAGTGGCGGTGGAGCTAGTGAAAACACGAAAAAAATGAAATACCTCAAACTTCGCTTTTTTATATTTCAGAGGGTCTTGGTCATAATTAGAAATTTTTTGTAGTGGTTAAAAATTGGAGGTTAGCTGGTATATTTACACAATCCCAACTCCTGTTATCCTGCGCGCACCTATTAGCCATATTTCACACATCATAGGTTTCCCGGTGCATTTGCCTTTAAAACAACGATAGAGAAATGTTTTCGATAGATCATTTATCGATTATCCATTAATTTTAAAAGGCTATATCTATATCGAAAGAAAAACGACAAATATCGATTATCGATAAAAAAAATAATTTTCAACGACCACTGTCATTTATCCAAATTTCAAAATTTCAGGACGATACAATGCACTCCACGCCTCACTTTCTGTTTTTCCTTTGTTCATTGTAATGTGCGTGCAGCGTCACTCGCTACTGTAGTTGGTCCCTTGTAATAAAAAATAGCGTCAAGTAGGTCGTCTCTGCACTTGCCACGCAACGCCGTTATCAGTACATACATACATAGGAATATATTCAGCACAAACTAGACCCCTCTGAGAAGAAAGTCAGTGAAACACGCCCATACAATTAGTCCGCACACATTCTTTGCCTGCCATATACTGCAAGTGCATCCGAAAACGTTTCCTCTACTCAATACTTAACCCGGTCAGACGTGGAATCGCGATTGGAGCATAGGAGACACTATGCTTTGGCGCGGCAGAAATACCATACCAGAACAACAGAACACTCAACAAGCCCTGTAGCACATCGCTGGGAGCAGCAGCCGGTAATAGGATGTAACGTGCCACAATCACGTGACCTTTTTTACATAACCAGTAATTTGAATTTATCTTTATTAATGGTAGAGTACCGATTCCTAGGCCAAACCCTTTTCAATGATTTTTTTCATTATTTATTTATCACACATAGTATACCTTTCTCTCTTAGCGACTCAGTATTGTATTTTGGACACTAATGTTATAATATTTGATTAATGACTGTCTATATCAGAAATTTCCTCATAAAATATCGTTGGTGCCTCGTAGAGTTGGTTTTCTAGCAGCAGCGGTTGCCGCAGTGGTAGACGCTTCGTCTCCCAATCAGTCGCCGTGCGCTGCGAAGGTTTGAATCCCGTCCCAAGAAAAAAATTTATCTTGCCTATGGATGTTGTGATTGTCCGTAGGTGGTAGACTGTCTCTGACTGTCGCACGCGGAGGTACCACTCGGCGGATCTAGTAGGCGGGGCCAGAATGTGTGCATGCACACGTGTTCCCTCGCTAGAGTCCGAGTGGCGTCCTCCCTTTTCCCCAGTACCCCCTATAGTCCCACGGTACCCCATAGGTGTTTAGGCCTTAGGCCTTCGTGGTGGCTGGAGTATAAAAAAAAGTCAGCGTCACTGTGTGGTTTTTCTCCGTACAAACCTATATAAGAATATTTGGTTTCCAGCAAACATATATTTATGGCCACTCATTTAACTTTCTTTTATAGAGTTAGGTGTTTCGTGTCAGTCATTTTTCCTGTTGAGTTGATGTTGTATCGGTCGTTTGATTGATTTCCAGATTTTGGGATATTTGGCCCCAATCACCATTTTATGGGGTAGCATCCTTTCTTGTATCTACCTTACGTTTATTTGTTTTGGTTTGGGTGCTACCCTCTCCACTTTTATGGGATTTTTGCCTCTTCACCATGGGAAGGCATTGAGAAAAACCACAATTCGAACTCCTCCAGCTTTGTAGCTGTTTCGTAGCCGATTTTACTGGAAGCCACCCCTTTCCCCTGAGAAAGAGCGTAGAATTAACAACGTTGGCAGCGTATAAATGTACTAACATCAAAAAATTAATATCCCACCTCCCTAAAACCTCACCCCCAAATATTTTTACCTCTAAAAGTCTCTGAAGCGTCAAAAAACGAAATTTGAGCGATTTTCATTATGTTTCCTGTTTGGCTCTTTCCTTTGCCGCCATCGGACCGATAGCATAATAGTAACATTGTGTAAGAGTTTCGAAATCTGAGCGATGCGTCTCAAATTATAGGCAGTTATAACATTAGCGAACAGACCGACAGACAGGCAGACTGACGGAAATGAGAGATGTACATGTCATATAATATCATCCAAGAAACATAATATCTGATCTTCGAGAGTTTTCGCGATTTTAATACTTCCCCGCCAGCAGGCGTGTGAAGTAAAAATTACAATTAAAATCTATTACTATTAATTTTAGAATTATATTAAAGAGTTTAACAATCATAAGCAACTACTTAAGTTTTGATTATTTTGTTGAGAATATTTTATTTAATTTAAAACTGATAGAGGAAGAAGTATTGGAGTGGTTGGTTTGTTTAGCCCACCTACTCACAAACATGAATAAGAAAATAATGAATGGTTTATTTTTCGTATTAAATGGAACCCTTTTCTCTACACCATACGTAAAAATCAGTTTTTAAAGAAAACCGATAATTATCGGTTTTTATCAAAATAAAAAAAACGATAACTTCTTTAACAGATTTTTGGAAGAGTTGGATAATTGCATGCCCTACTCAGGGCTCACCGCCCGGTGCACTGGTTTAATTGACTTCTCTGCCCGTACTCAGCGGCGCCGTTGTGGGCTCAGCGGCGTCAGATGGACGCTAACTACCGTTAGGGCAGAGAAAGAATGTCTATGAACTAATTGTATGGCCTTGTTTGACCAACTTGATCCGTTTAATCTTACTGTTGTATATGTTCGCAACTCATTTTTTCTCAGGGGGTTTAATTTGTGCTGAAATTAATCCTTTATGAACTGATGATGGCGTTGCGTAGCAAGTGAAGTCAATCTACTCGACGCCATTTTTATTACGATCCTACCATGACTAAGACCGCAATTAGTAAATTGATTAATATATAAAAAAGTTGTCGTGGACGATCACCGCACCATCTAGCCGCCTATAGAAAATTAGACTGACAAAAAGGCGAGCGGACATTCATTATTGATAGAATTTGAACAAGTTGAAATATTTATGCCAACTGACTTCTCTGTCAGTCAAAAAACATTTTATTGTGGATACTATTTATGTATCAAGTGTGAAAATATGTTAAGAGTTAATTCCTCCTTTCACAATAACACACAAAAATTCTGATCCCGCGCCTGTAAGGCTAACATATACATAGACATGTATATGGAAAATACATAAAATAGTATCAAAGGTGTGTACAAATGATTTAGATTTATAGCATATGCATAACATATCGAGTGGAAAATATTATTTATAGCGTACTGCTTTGGTACTCTTCCATCCTTCAATGCCAGTAGCCATTATGAAGCTTTTGTGTGATGCCTTTCTGCTGATGAAGTCGAAAGTGTATTATCTCTAGACAAAGCTAAGAAGTTTATGGCTGGGTTCAAACTTCAATTTGCGAAAGGGATCCTGGAATTTTTTGTTTAGCACCAATACTTGCATTAATAAAAGTTAAACACTTTGCAGACTAGATGTTCGCAAACCAAGAACCGTGCTACTAATGTAACAACATGCCGTCGAGTGAAAAACGGTGTGTTGTGTCTGATGCAAGATGTTGCAAACGTTGTGGTGTAGTCGCAAAAAGTGGACCACAATGTGTGACCTGCAAGACTGTAATCCATCCAGCTTATGTTAAATATATGAAAAATTTGCAGAAGAACACTAAAAACAACCGAGAATGAATTTGGAGAAGACAGCGACATATCTTTTTGTAGCCTAAAAGAGATTTTTGAAGCTTATGTGAGTGAAAAGAATAATTAGTATTTAAGAGAAATAATAAGATACAAAAATTATATAATAAAACCGCAAGAGCAAACTACAAAAAGCCTGCTTGATCAAATATCTGCACTCTCAAAAATGTTGGATCGTTCATCCTCATCTGTTGCCCAAATTAACAAACAAACTATGGTATCTCCACGTAAGGAGAATGGTCTACTGACTGATGTTATCCACACAAAATCTGCTAAAGGATGAAGAATACGTCTATCTCAAAATAGTCAGCCACAGCAAGCGTTTCTAGAAACGCGAGTAGCACGATAACTAGGCAGCAGGTGGCACTTGCTGTCGAGCAAGCGCAGTCAGCGAATAGTACCTCTGCTCCAGCGCTACCTCAGCCGTCCGCTGAGTATGCAGCCGAGGACGATGCAAGTAGTGGTAGTGGTAGTCACTAGCATTTGGTTGAAGGAAAGCGCAAAAGAAACAACCCGAGTAACTTGGTTATTGGGAATGGTCCCTTTGATGGTCCAGTTAAAGGTGTCGAAAGAACTGTATCCTTACATGTTAGCCGTGTTCACCCAAAAACTAAACTGAGTGATGTGGAAGACATGGTGAAGAACATTTTTCCGGAGGCCACTGTTGAAAGTATCACTTCGAAACATCCTGATATTTATTCCTCTTCCAAAATAACGATTCTACAATCAAATTTTAAAAAAGCACTAGACGTTTCAATGTGGCCATAGAATACGTGCATTAACCGTTTTTTACCAAAAAGAAGGAATTCACAAATATCAACTTAGCTTTCCAGACTAGTTTAGTACTTTTAAATGTTCAGTGTCTAAATTTTGACAAAGCTGATGAGCTACACCTTATGTTATCAGACTATGACGGGGTGAAATTCCTCTGTTTAACTGAAACGTGGTCTACAGTTGAATCGATTGATAATATTGTTATAAATAATGTTCAGTTGGTAAGTTCTTTCTGCATAACATAGTACAAGGGCAGTGGTGTATACTGTGAGCAACAGGTTATGGCAAAATCTTATATTTCTCAATTTTTGATTGAAAAACACATTTTTGCGCAATACAGTACTCTGATCGTGGAATGCAAAGCATCCTTATTTTGTGCTACATATCTCCCTCAGGGGACATGAAAATATTCTAAAAAAATTTGAATAGGGTTCTAAATCAATTTTATTTACAAACCAAACATTAATATCGTTCTTTGCGGGGATTTCAGTATAGACTTGCGCAATCATAACGCTGACAGTGACAATTTAATAAACGTCCTATCTGTATTTGGATTGCATCCAGAGGTAGGATGGCCTACTAGAGTTGGTAAGACTTCTCTCACAACGATTGACCAGATTTTCACTAATTTCGATGATAGATGTCTGAACTGTGTAGTGGACAACGTTTTATCGGATCACAAGACATTACTCTTGGAAATGATGAAACATACGGCAGGTAGTAATAGGACAACATACACACTAAGGAAGGTTTTTAACTCCCACTCTATACAAAATTTTGCAGTAGACCTAAGCAATGAAAATTGGTCCACATTGTATAATTTGCCGGATATCAACAGCCCATTCAATTATTTCTTACAAAAACATTTTCTGACAAAAAGACGAGCAATAAGTATAAACAATAAAAAGGTATGGGTGAGTGAAGAGGTTAAAAGATCTAGTTCACATTTGCGGGAACAGCATGTACTGTCAACGATTTTTCCCGAAAATAAGCATAAATATCTGGAGACCAAAAAACAGCATCAAAGACTGATTAGAGAAACAAAAAGGGCCTATTACCAAAAAACTATTTTGAGCTCACATAATACAGTCAAATCTGCCTGGAATGTAGTAGGTGAACTGAGTGGTAAAAATAAAACAACAAAAAACTTTGTACTGGGCGAAATTTGGCAAACTATCACTGATCCTCAGGAAATAGCCGATCACTTTAACAGAAATATTGACAACAGTTCCTAACTACAACGATGCGGTTAGGGAAACATGTATCTATACCCATTTACGGAAGAAGAATTCTTTAATCTGATCGAAAAAAGGTTAAAAAACAAGCGTTCCTCAGGTGCTGACGAAATTCCTAATTACCTGGTTAAGAACGTTTTGGTATATATTGTTAAGCCCTTTGTTTTTCTGATCAATTTCTCTTTCTGTACTGGCTCTTTTCCAGATAGCTTAAAAATGGGAAAAGTAAGTCCCATACATAAGAAGGGAGAAACTATTAACGCAAAAAATTACAGACCGGTGACGTCTCCCTGTTGTTTTTCCAAAATTTTCGGATGCTGTTTCTTCAGTCGGTTGACGCTGTTCCTAGAAAGACATGAGGTACTAACATCCAACCAACATGGTTTCCGTAACGGTAGGTCAACACTAACAACATCTCATTCTTTCTTCAATACGCTAGCTCAGTACATTGAGGCAGGAGAGTGCCCTGTTGGTATCTTCTGTGATCTAAGCAGGGCATTCGACTGTGTCAACCATGATCTGTTATTAATAAAACTGGCAAGTTATGGAATCGGTGGACCAGCATACCTCTGGATAAAACGCTACTTAGAAAATAGATCGCAGTATGTGACAATAACTCATAACTGCTCAGGACAACTAATGCAAGTCAGGTCTAGTGGACAAGGATATGTGTGTTGGGGCCTGTTCTGTTTGCATTATATGTAAATACCCTTGAGCGGTCCTTCCCCAGAGCACACTTTATCTTATACGCGGACGACACATTGATTATTCTATGAAATAAAGATGACGTTATCCTAATTAACAACTGTAATCGCTTGTTACATAGCATCAATAGCTGGTTCGTGGAGAACCAGCTGCATCTAAACTGTGAAAAAAAACAGCAATAAGATTCCACAATGCCCGAAAATCAATGCCTCCCCTGTAGCTTACATTAGATAGTTCAGCACTGCCCAACAGTGAGAGCACAACATTCTTGGGACTGCACCTGGATGAGTGCCTCAATTTTAAAGGACATTGTGACTACCTGTCTGCGAACAGTTTTTACACGTGACCAATTATTGATGTTATATCAAAGTCATATCGAGTCGCGAATGCTCTATGCATTGTGTTTCTGGGGTTCCTCGGTGAATGCTTCAAAGGGATATCGAAGTCAAAAGAGAATAAGGTGCAAAGCAGGTGTTGACAGTATATTCAGTTGCAGAAACTTGTTCCCGAAATTATAAATTCTAACACTGTCCTCGTTGTTTCTTTATGAAATGGCAATATATACGTACATTAACAAAGATAATTTCACTTTGAATTGTAATATACATGTTAGCGGCGCCGCTGTGACTACCCATAATTCCCTCTCAGGAGGGTGAAATGATATCGTTATCATCTGCTAAAGGGAAGGCGAAGCACGGGGGTCCGGGGATGACTTGATCCCTTGCAGGTAGTAGCGAAGACGAGGACAGCCAAATAAATTGTGCCCAAATACGTAGTAAATGGTAGTACGCGGAATAAAGTATTGATTGGGGATAGAAGTGTATTTTTTTGGGGTAAAAGCCAAATCAAATCTACACCTTTTCTTACATACATATATTCAATACTCGTAGGCAGCACGAAATTCATCTACCCTTTGCTCGATGTAAGCTGGGTAGTAGATCACTCTAACCGTGGCGGACTGCCCTTACTGCCCGAAGTATGAGATTTTCCAGAAATGGTATACTCACTAACACCCAGCACGGTAATGTTTGCAGCATTTCCTCGTATTGAGTAGCGTTGCGCTAGGTTTTCATACCGAAGGTACTACTAGTCGTCTATTGTCTATCGCACACATACATACATACTTTTATACCTATGGACATGTATCTACAACCGAGCAAATTAGAAATCTATTATTGATTCCTTGGTCTATGTTTATTCTCCCGTACCGTACTCAGCTTCGTTCGTCTCACTATCGATGATTGTCTACACATTTGGCCTCGCGTATATACGTGGCAAAATTGTCAGCAGTGAACCTCTTGCCGAGCGTCTGTTCCAGCTGTGTCTGGTAGTCAAGCCACCTACCACATTGGAGTAGGTGATTAGGAGTATCCCCTTCTGCATTGCAATATATGCAATTAGCGTACTCTCCTCTTTCCTACCCTCTTCAGGTAGCTGCTAAAACAATCGTATCATGTGAGGAAATGTGCAGTATAGTAATCTATCCTCACCGCTCCCGTTTCAATCTAAGTTTTAATATCTGGGATCAGCCTTCTGGTCCATGCACCATGGTCAGTTGCATCCCATCTTCCCTGCCATCTGACAAAGATTGCATCTTTCGTCGCTTGTACCTTCGACGCCCTTTTCCAGCAGTGCATCAGTCGACACTGTTCTCTAAGCGCACAGAACGCGTGGTGCTACTTTTTGCTGGCTTCTCTATATTAGCTGTCTATATTCCGTTTTCCTCAAGGCCTTGTTGTATATAACAGATCCGTACGTCATAATAGAGTTTGTCATCACTGCCGAAATTCTGCGTCTCTCAATACTGGGGCCTCCGTCAGATGGCATCAGCCCTATAAGAGATGTCACGACCTTATTTACCTTCCCAGTGATGTGCCTTATATACTAAGTGACATATAAATCCGAACACCCAGTTTAAATGGTTTTATTTTAATAAAAGTTGGTGAATGTATTTATCTTACTGTAAATAAAAAATGAAAAAATTTTCAGCCTTATCAGTTGGACATTCCGGTTTTTATACTGCTTTTTTTTAATTCACTAGCGCTCTAAAAATGAATATTTCAGCCGCAGTAAAGAATCAACGTTGGCGGATTTTGGTACTTGACATCCTTTACGATCGGTTACGATGCCTAGAGTACGGAGACCTGTGCGATTTCGTCAACTTAGTGAGTTTGATAGGGGCCGTATAGTGGGACTTCGGGAAGCTGGACTTTCTTTTCGGGCAATTGCAGTTAGAGTGCAAAGAAGTGTAGACACTGTGGTTAGGTGTTGTCAGGCATGGCTTCGAGAAGGCCGTACGCAAAGAGCAAGGGGCACTGGACACCGCCGTAGAACAACAGACCGTGAAGATCGCCGCCTAAGATTATTGGCCTTAAGGGACCGTTTCTCCACTACCAGGTCCATTGCAAATGAATGGTTTGCAGAACACGGAAGACCTATTGGCATGCGAAGTGTTTACCGACGAATGAGAAGTTTTGGCTTGTTTTCATATCGGCCACACTGGGTCTCCTCCCTTTAACTCGAGAACAACGACGTCATCGCCTTGAGTGGTGCAGACAACGGTCACTCTGGGATCAGGAATGGAACAGTATTGTCTTTAGTGACGAGTCTCGATTTTGTTTAGGCATGCACGATGGTCGTGCCAGGGTTAGAAGGCGACGTGGTGAAAGGAGGAATCCACAGTTTTTTGTTGAAAGACATGTTCATCACACTGTTGGAGTTATGGTTTGGGGTGCTACAGCTTATGGTTCCAGGTCACCTTTAATCTTCATCAGAGGTAACATGAACGCGCAGCGTTTTATCCACGAAGTTCTAGAACCCCATCTTTTACCCTATCTTGGCACCCTGGCAGATCCAACTTTCCAACAAGATAATGCCCGACCACATGTTGCAAGAGTCACAATAGACTTCTTTCAACATAATGATGTCACATTGTTACCATGGCCACCAAGATCTCCCGACTTATCCCCAATTGAGCACGTGTGGGATATGATGGGTAGGAGATTGCTCAATTTGCAACGTCCTCCTCAGACTCTAGAAGCACTTCGAGAGGAGTTGGTGGTTGCCTGGAATGAGATACCACAGGAGGACATTGACCACCTGATCAGAAGCATGCCTAGGCGCGTTGGAGAATGCGTAGCACATCAGGGTGCATCCACACATTATTAAAGGTCAAAGGGCTTTAAAGCAGTGCAATTTTATTAAAATAAAACCATTTAAACTGGGTGTTCGGATTTATATGTCACTTAGTATATATTCAATCATTTTCAGATCTTCGACAAGCCACACATCCAGATACTTGATTGCATTTTGGCTCCGAATCTCGGAATTATCAACCTTAACAGCTAGTTCTGTCTGCCAGAAAGTATAACTACTTCAGTCTTCTCAGGAGCTAATTTTAAGCCATTTTCTTCTATCCAGATGGTAATTCTGGTGATTCACTATCATCGCAAGATTGTCAACATACCCTATCAAGCGAATTCCCGGCAGCATCTGTAACCGAAGAACCCCATCGTAGAACACGTTCCAAAGCAACGGCCCTAGAACGGAGCCCTGCGGCCTCCCAAGGCTACCTTCATGGTCTTTTACCCTACCATAAGTGCCCTGATCGTCAAAATAGCTCTTTATCATGTTCATTAGACAGCTAGGAGTGTCTAGCTTCTCTAGAGATTCGACGATTTTTTGTAATTGTGCCGTGTTAAAGGCATTCTTAACGTCAAAAGCAACCATAACGGAAAGCTTCTTACTATTTTAGCTACCACGATCCGCTGCTTTCGCCAGCTGTGCCACTGCACTAAGTCTATCTATGGCAGACTTTCCCTTTCTGAAACCGTATTGCGAGGGAGACAGTCCGTTCTTTTTCTCGACGTATTTCCAAGTGGAGTCAGCATATAGATGTTTATATTTGATTTCCCTGTCGGTGAGTTTCGGAGGTTTAGGAATCAGCACCAAACCAGCTATTTCCATGTTCTCAAGCATTCACACCTGTTTTCAAGTGCGTTGCAGTTTCTTTAAGCTCACTCATGATGAATTCTGGTACGTCCACATTTTTCTCGAATTTCCATTCGGTGTGTGAGTACTTCGGAAACAATGCCTCTGCAATTTTTATTTGCTGTTCAGTATCCAGGTACAGTCTGTCTGTGAGTTTTAGCTTTTTCATGTCAATCTTGTATGCTTGACCTAAACATAATTTTCTGGGTCATTTATTAAGTATTTCCACATCTTCTGTTTAGAGTTCACTATGAGCTTTTCTAGTTCCTTTTTGGCATATTGGTGTTGTTTTTTGTACTCAAGAATGAGGACGTTATTCCTTGTTCCATTTGCTCTATGGTACTTTGTATTTTCTCTACGTCTGATAGTTATGACTACATCCTCCTCCAATAGTTGGACTTATAATCATTCCAAAGTTTGATAGTTATTATTTCAAACATAATATATTTTCTTATATTATACTTTCCAGTTGTTGATTTTACCAATCAAGTTCTCACTATGGAAAGTAATGTCGATATAGGTTGATTGGCTTCCTCTGCCAAAAGTTGGCTCGCCACCATTGATTGCTATGACAAGGCTCCTTGCTGCGAGGATTTTTTCAAAGAGCTCTCCTTTTTTGTCAGTTATCCCAGATCCTCAAGTTGTCGACTTCGAATTACAAGTACTGCTTTATACTGTGGTTCATAAGAGTTTCCAATTCATTTAGTATTTAGTAAGCATCAATTGTTATGTTTGGAGAATTATAAAAATATATACACAGCATACCTCTACTTGTCCAGCACTCGTAGCATTTAACCTCGTTGGGGCAGTCTTTTGCAGCGTGCTTGTCGTCTCCACATTTGAAGCACTTTTGCCTTTGGTTTTCCTTTGCCATACTGGTATGCAGCGTGGCCAAAGAGCTGGTACTTGTAGCATCTCGCTAGAGAGACTTTTTCAGTTATTCTGCACCTGATCCATCCAATTTTAATCCGCCTTTGTTCTAGCAGCATACGTCCAAGCCCTTCAGGGGCATCAGGGACCATCAGGGCAGTGCAAGGACTCTTCCCACCTTTAGGTGCTCTTGGCTCAAAGATTTTTAGACCTGCAACATTTTGCTGCTGCAGAACCTTTTCGATAGCTTGTCGGACCTCTTCCTTAGCTATAGTTTTTTCAGGGTGACGCACTATGATTGCAAAGTCTTTTCTGGTGCCTTGGCCACATCTCCGACGCCTAAAATACTTTCGACTTGCGTCAAAAGCTTTTTAGCAGCACCTTCCTTTTTTTCTGACACCTTCAACTCAATTTCACCTTTTTTCGTCTCTTTCACATTGACCATGGATGCACCTATTTCTTGTAGATTTATTTTTTGCCTCAGCCTCCTAAGCTTATTAGCATAGGAGTTTTCGCCCTGATGTGTTTTAATTATAAGGGTGTCCTTGTTCGGCCCTGTCTTTTGGCTTTCTGACTTTTCGACCGTAGATTCAGCGTGTCTTGTCATCACCTGACCCTGTAAATCTCAATATTTTCACTCTGCACCTGGAGACCGTCACACCTTAATGATGAATTTGATTTGCTCTTGCTCATTTTTAAGAGCTTCGTCGTCCCTCCTCGGTGTACGTTTAGCAATATCAGCGTACTGGCGTCCTTCAACGAAGCGTTAGCTTGCCACGTCACTACCTTAGTCACCTGGAAGCATGGTTCTGACCATTCTGCTTCCTTGTTCAACTCCATGAATTTTTGCTGTGTCATCTTTCCCTGCATTTAACTCTTGCGTCAGCAGGACATTGTCAATATATTTGGAACTCGTTTGAGTTCCTGTGATTCTTGTTTGTTTTGGTTCGTCCTCTTGCTGGTACATCTCAGTCTTCACATCAAAAGTTGGGATTTCTGGTTTATCCCATTCGATTCCTTATTTAAGGGAGCGGAGAGACGCTGTAGATCAACGTTCAAATCCTTGATTTCTTTCCTTGTATTCTGGCTAGGATTGATTATGTCATTTAACCGTGCCAACTTGTACCTGAGTGTTTCCAGATTACACATGAGGTCATATACCGCTAGATTTTGTTTTTTCTTGAGTATAGCTCTCTCAACCTCTCCAGCAGTCAGTTCTAGAGCTTTTCTTTTAACTCCGGTTTCTATGGCACGAAATTCCGGACTGCCAAAACAAATATTTTCTAATGCAGATTTTTTATTTATTTCAGTGGCGTTCGTGCAAGATTTGAGCTAGACGGTTTTTAAGAAAATATGGCATGTCACTGCTGTTTCGTAATCAAGTTATTTTTATAGTTCTCATTCACTTATAAGCAAATTTGATCTGCATTTCTTCCCTTCGACGTAGTTTTCGCTCAAAAATTTCAACATTGTGTTGATATTATGTTTGCTATCTTGTATCAATTACCACATTTTGCCAAATGATCTGACAGATAAATGTTTTGTTTCTTTTTCGCGAAAACCGTAATACAGAGGAAAACCAATTGATAGACCTTTGCTTAGAAGCTAATTGTGAAAAACATATCGTGTTACGAGAAATAAGTACGAATTGCCATATTCGTAATAATAATTGCTTAGTTGGAATCCACAATTCTACCACCCGGTAACTCAAAATTTGGGCCGCGTAGGATCCATGTTAAAATGAACTCTTTTTAAGTCAACCTAAAAATCGCACCTTAACTTTTGAAACACTCTGTATAATAAGCAGAGTTTCTCCCACAAAATTAAATTGATGGCTAAATAAAAATAGGATGCTCCGCCATTTCAGGCAGACCACCTTGACTTCAGCCTCCCACCCTAACCATGTCGATCTTCGTACATCCAGAACTAGCTAATACGACCGCTCCTTCATCCTTAGGCTAAAGAGATTGGGGAACAATCTACATGAGGATGATTTTCCCAGTTCTATTAACCTTGGGCAGTTCAAAAATAGGATTAACAAAGTTTCTTTAAGCTCCTTAAAGCAGTCGCGATACCCTGGTATTTAGGCTTCTGTCTGCTCGGTTGCTTCGATGTAAACAAAATGTACAAAACATTGATCCATGAACCCACTTTTTCAATGAATATGAAAAGTGCTTATCTAGGTAAAATAAATCTTTTACGACTCTTTGTAGTAACTAACAAAAACAGATGGGTTATCTGTTACGAAATAATCACCACCTGCAAAGAACAATAAGCTGAGATTTGTGCTTGTTTTCCTTGTACATAAACATATTTTTGGCAACTGAACAATGAATGCTGTTTGTTTACCGTTTGTAAACTATCTAAAATTGTACTTAAAATAGCTATGATATTATGATACTGTTACTATTATGAGATATGATATCACAGGGTGCGCCATCTATTACTTTTTTCTATTTGAAAAATCGATTTTTTTTATTGATAAATGAAGGTTGGTTTATGCCATTTATGTATAAAAAATAACATCAGTCATGTGACCACCGCGGCTTCGTTTACAGGCCAACATCCAAATATCAAAATTTTCAATGACTTTTCCCAGAATAATCGGATCTATGGCCGCAATTTCAGTCCGAATTTGCGCTTTAGGTCTTGAATTGTCCGGGGACCATTCGCATACACTTTTCCTTTCAAAAATCCCCAAAGAAAATAGTCAAGAAGTGTTAAATTGCACGATCTCGGGGGCCAACTGACATCTGAATTTCGTGAAATTATGCGTTTTTGAAATTTCGTGTGCAATAAGGAAGAAAAAGCAGTAGTAATTTGATCATTATTTATGTTCCATGTTATCTCACAAATAGAAACAATACCGACCTGCCCCCGCAAGACACGGCGTCGAGTCTGTTTTGTACTAAGAAATGCGTGATTTATGCATAACCATGTGCTGCATTTATACAGATGCGTACAGATCTAATGCGAAGTACGATATCTGATTGGTCGGTCGGTGCTCGGTCCTCGGCATTGGCATGTTGGTCTTGTCGCGTGACGTGGCTTAAAATTTGAATACGAACAATTTTTTATTTAGGTATTTTGGGTCTTACGTGTGGCTGTGTAGAAGGGTAGTGCAAGACAATGGATGTGGTTTACAGACTTATCAGCGTGAAACGATTCTGAAAGCACACATTTGAAGAAAAAATTGAGCTGAAGGTATCAGGTCGACCGCTGCCGGACATATTTATAGAAACACAGGGCGTTAGTCGGGGCAAGGACTATACGCGGCATTTCAGCAGGGACATTTACACCAGAAATGACTGGATTTGTGGGTGCAACAGGAGGAATGCCCTTTTATGCTTTCCTTGCATACTTTTCGGCGGTGACAAAGCTTGGACGGAGGTAGGTGTTACAGATTTAGTGCACCTGAGTGAAAAAATTAAGAAGCATGAAAACTCTAAAACACATCTTCATAATTCGATGAAATTGGCTTTACTGGGGACTGTTAACATCAGAGCTCAGTTAGATTCAGCATATTGGAGAAATATACAACAGCATAATGATACCGTTACAAAAAACAGGTACGTTCTATCAAAAATAATGGTTGGTATAAAATTTTGTGGAGCATTTGAATTGGCGCTACGGGGCCACGACGAAACCGAGAGCTCAAAAAAACCCGGGAATATTTCGTGGACTGATTAATTTTTCTGCTGAGCTTGATACAACCTTAAGCGAACACATAAAAAATGCTTCAATATTTAAAGGAACTTCGAAAGAACTACAAAACGATCTACTAGATTGTAGTCTTGAAGTTTGTCATGAAGAAATAATAAAACACGTTAACAGAGCCTCGTATTTGGCGATAATAGCAGATGAAACAACGGACATTTCAGGAAAAACCCAACTGGTAACAATTTTCAGATCCGTATTTAACGGCGAACCAGTAGAACGTTTTTGGAATTATATGAATCCTGAAAAATGTGACGCTGATACTCGCACAAGACATATTTTGAGCGTCGTAGATCCATTAATAGGAAACAACTGATTTCACAAAGCTATGATGGAGCCGCGGTAATGAGCGGACATAATGCTGGAGTACAGGCAAAAATTAAACAAAGATATCCATTTGCTCACTATGTGCATTGCTATGCACATCAGTTAAACCTGATTATGTCCCAAGCTGCTTCCGCAAATGCTCAAGTTCGGGTGTTCTTTGGGGATTTGAAAGATATTTCGGGATTTTTTAATAATTCTCCTCAACGCGTAGAGGTACTTAACAGAATTATGGGAAAAAAATTCCCCAAGGAGCAGCAACTCGTTGGAATTTTAATATTCGAACAATAAATGTAGTGTTTGAGAACAGAGAATCACTCATTGAATGCATGGAAGAAATAGAAGAAAATTTCACTAATGAAACCGTTTGCAAGGCAGCTTGCGGTATTCGCCGTATGTTAAACGATTCTGTTTTCGAGTTTTGGTTGACATTTTTTCATCATGTCATGCCTCACGTCGACATCTTGTTCAACCAGCTGCAGAAGAGAAAAACCGAGCCAGCGCAAGTTAAAACGCCTATCGATAATTTTGAAAAATGTATTGTCGATGTGAGAAATAAAATTGATGACATAATAAATGAAGCCAAAAGTATTTATTTGCACTGAACCCCAAGGAAAAGGAGACGACGAAATAATAGCAGTCACGATCACCGAGTTGCCGCATTAGAAGTATGCGACAATAGAGTGAATTCTGCAAATGACAGATTTCAATTCAAAGATCATTTGGTAGCCGCATCCCTTTTCTTCCCCGAACACTTTGGAGAATACTGTGGTAAGTTTCCTGGTGACAAGTTGGAAACTACCTGCTTGGCTTATCCCGAATTAGAAAAAAATCGTTTATAGACAGAGTTGTCTGTTATTTATGCACGGAATTGTAATGCTTCCTTTCCGCAAAAAGTCCAGAAAAGATGGAATGCAATGAAGATTCCAACTTCTCTGCACAATCACAGAAAGGGGGTTACCATTAGCTTCCGGTAGCTCAGTCGGTGGCATGAAGACATCTACAGGTGTGTAGCTGTGTGTCGACCATGGCATGGCTAGAGGATAGAAGAACAAACAGAACACAAAATTTAACAGATTTTATTTAACTAGAAAAGCATTTTCATTACATTTGAAATTGAAATTTTAAAGAACAAAATAAAAGTTTTAAATCTTTGGCGCTGTTACAAAATCATCCACTTATCTTTCGCTAAGCTGGTCCATTTTGACTGGACTGAAGCGAGGATGGCCAGGTGCTTCAAGTGGAGGTCCCAGTTATGAGGGGCGACCTCACATTTTGTGGCTTCAAAACTAGATGTAGGCGAAGGATGCAGTGAAGTTGAACTTAAACGTGATCCTCATCAAGGATGAAGCTACAAGTGATGGCGCAGCCAAGGCACATGCATGGGTGAAGTGATAGGCCAAGCAATAGGTAAGCCAAAGTCAAAGACAAAGGAAGGCAAAGACAAAGTCAAAGACAAAGACAAAGGCAAAGGACAAAGTCAAAGGGGGTGGCCCCAATCATTTTATCCTATTTGGACACACATTTTACAAAATGCTAGCACATGGTGCTATATGACCTCATGCTACAGAGAACAAAATTCTCAGCTCTTGTTAGATCGGCGGCTCAAGTGAAAAGGAAGCGCGAGGAAGATCACAGATCAGGAACTCCGCATCAAGCGCGCTCCAAGCGGAAATGTTTCCAAGTAAAAAAGTTAGAGATGGGATAAGCTAGAGATGGGATTAATGAGTTGCGATTCTGAAATGAAAATCCAGAAGTGATTTAATAAATACAATCGGACGGTGAAACCGTTACAGAATGATTGCCGAGATTTACATGGAACTAGGTCTCTTTTGAAATTTTTGATACAAAATAGTTCGGAGGAAGCACTAAAAAAAAGCTATTAGAAATTATTGTTACAACTCCTATGCCAACGTCAGAGGCAGAGCGAAATTTCTCAACATTGAAAAGAATCAAGACCTTTCTTCGAAATACTATGACTCAGGATCGCCTTACAGCGTTGTCGATGCTGTCCATTGAAAAGGAATTTATTTCGACCATGGAAAATTTCAACGGGAAGGTAATCGACAAATTTTCTGCCAAGAAGGAGCGCAGGATCGAACTGACATAAAAAATAGGTAAGTTCGGATTTGCAGAACACCTGTTTTATTTTGCCACGAGCCGCCACTGGTCGGCACCAATACGATCCAATTGTGGCCACAAAAAGTCTGTTAACATGCCGCGATAACGTTCCCCGTTGACGGTAATGGCCTTTTCTTCGCCATCTTCAAAGAAGAATGGTCCAACGATGCCACCAGCTCATAATCCGCTCCAAACAGTCACTTTTTCAGGATGGAGAGGTTGTTCATGATATTGGTGTGGATTTTCAGCCCCCCAGAATCTGCAATTTTGATTATTTACTACCCATTGAGGTGAAAATGAGCCTCATCAGAAAAGAGCACTTTGGCCGAAAATCCGTCTTCTCTTTCCAGCATCCAATTAACAAAAACACGCCGGTGTTGATGGTCTGCCGGCTTCAATTCTTGTGTTAGTTGGATTTTGTATGGATGGAGGTGTAAATCAATGTGTAAAATCCGGGGTAAAGTGGTCTCACTAATTCCCAATTGTTGCGAACGGTGCCTAGTCGAGGTGGTTGGATCTTCTCGCACACTTTCCCTCACTGCGGCTATGTTTTCACGAGTACGAGATGGACGAGCATGTTGAACCAGTTTCCTCAAAACGATTAACAATCCAACGAATTCCAGGCTCTGTAGGGCGTCCATGTCGGCCAAAACTAGTGCGAAGTTTGCGAAAATTATTTTTTATGTTTCGACCGTTTTGGATAACCAAAATGCGTTGTTGTGTTGCAAACGAATCCATGACTATGAATGGCATACCTTTGACAGTTCATTTATGCATACCACATGACTGTTGACCTACATGGTAACACATAAACTTACAGGTAAAAAAAAAGTAATAGATGGCGCACCCAGTAGAAACCTAGAGGTAGAGAACAGATGCAAGGTTGGAAAGATTATCTATAAAATAATGACGGCAATGCAAGAAAAATGATCATTTTTGGAACAACATGATTCGCAAGGGGCTGGATGGTGAACATAGGCAGAGATATAAATATGACTGCGGAGCAGTGTTGCAACCGAAAAAGACTAAATCGGTAGGCAGTGTCGTTGAAATTCGGGAAATTCAAGGACAAAATCGGTAAGAGAAAAAAATCAGGGTCAAGATCAGCAGTTTTTTGAAAATATTGACTTCTTTATTACAACCTATACAATGAGCATATTGGTCCCTCTTTAAACTCCTCTCTCAATTTTGGTTACAAGACTGTGAATATTTTTCTGTTTTACCCATGAACTTCGTCTGGGGGAGGGCCTAGGAGAAGGAGAATACTCTTCCCAGACAGCCAGGCTGTGATGAAGCCACTAAGTGCCTGCAAGATTACTTCGAACCTTGTATTGCACTGCAGGGAAGCTCTGGATAGTCTAGCAGCGAGGCATCCGCACGGGTATTACGTATCTTTAAAAGTGATGTTATAAAGATTTTTTTGACATAATACTATTTTTTATTTGACATTATGTAGAATTTTCGACAAGATGCTAACTTAACACTAGTCGATGGACACTTTTGTTCTGCAGTTGTACGTGGTGCCTAAACGTCATGAGGCTTCAGCTATGATGTGATGTAAAATTTGCTTCAGAGGTGGCATTACTGGAAGTAACGGCATAATGAGGATTTGTGTGCTAATAATAATATGTGTTGATGATAATTGCATTAGATTCTTGTCTCAAATACACTTACTTGAGATTCAAAGCTAGAAATTAGTTGCGCATCCACTTTTTCTTATCCTTTCTGGAAATTTCATATGCGAATTTGCTCAATTTAAAAAAAGTTTTTGAAAACACAAAAAAAAACGTGAAAATCATAATCGATAACTTTGAATATAACCTGTCTCCCGAAAGGACAACATATAAATAACCCGTTGGGCACAGCTAATAGATATAATTCATTGACACCACATTCATTAATGATTTTCTCACACAGCAAATATCACTGATTTTATACGCATGCTCTTCAGCCAGATACGATCTTGCTATTCAACCAAATAATCAACTTTCTTCTCAGAGATGAAAAATATAGGCCACTCGGATTCACAAAACCTATGCAACCAACAAAACCTATGCAACCAACAATGCGTGCACCTGTAGCTGAGCCATTCCTCGATAGATGGACGCTCACAACGATTCTAGTGAGCAAGCGTGGAATTACTGTTTGCACCCTAAAAACTACCTAGTATACGGCACTAAATATATAAAAATCAAGCCTGCTTGATATAACTTTACATTCAAACAGTTCAAAACCAGCTTATTAATGAACCTGAACCTTTTTGGTCATTCATACACAATAAGAATAACAAACCCATCTAGAATTCCTAGTAAAATGTTCTTCCAATAGTTAATGCTTTTGCTGAATTCTTTCAGTGTGTGTATTCTCCGCCAGGTTAACAATAATATCCTTATTGATATAACGTGCCAGTCAATAAGTGTAAAATAGATTTTAGAGGCTGCAATGAAACCCAAAAATAAATTTACATCAGGGCCAGATCAACTTCCGTCGTTTTTCATTAAAGACTGTGTATGGTTTTTATTGACAATTTTCAATTTAATTCTACGTTCATCAGTTTTTCCTGTTATGTATGCCCAATTTTCAAGTCGCAAGACAGAACCTTAGTAAATAATTATAGAGCGATCACTATACTGAATAACTTTGTAAAGCTCTTTCACTATCATGCGGCAATCGTATGTTTGCTGATGACCTGAAGCTTTACATATACGTTTCTAGCTGGCAAGGTTGGGAAAATTAAAAGCAACAAATATTTTTTTTACACATATGGCGTATCAATAACAATTTGTATTGAAACACATCTAAGTAACGCATTGTAACCTTCACCCGGAAAAGTAAATTTTTTAACTTACCCATACAAAATAAATGATTCTGTTTTGGAAAACTGTGAAACTTTCAAAGATTTAGGCATGCCTTTCGATCGTCAGCTTACCTTTAACTATCACATAGGTGGAATTATAAGTAATCAGTAACGTACACATGGCTTTACTATCAGAAATTGTAGATATTCCAATACCAAAACGCTTATTAAGTTATCTTTAGTGCTTATTATAAGTAAAATATAATACGGTGCAATCACTTAGAGCCTTATCTATGAAGTCTACAAAAATAATATTGAGAAAGTGCAAAAAAATTTCTGAAATGTCTATGGGAGTTTTACTTATTATTATTGAATAGATTTGGTGTCCCTTTTTCCCGGAGAAGTGCAGAGAGCAGGCGTCGATCATATTTTTATACAAATTACTGAATGGTAACATCGACTGTCCTGTTTTGCTATCGCAAATTGTTTTCCTGGTACCTAGATTGACATCCATATAATATAGCATCAATAAACTGTATGTGTAATAATGTGAATAGGATTGGCAATGTTTGTGATATCTTCTGTTGTAGATTTCAGGAATTGAGAAGTGCTTTACGCTAAAAACGTTGACATTCTTTAACCTCTTTTTATAAACGTTTCCGTTTGTTATACATATACATATTTATGTGTGAACATTACATGATGAAGGTATATATTCTTTTTTGCTATTATCTATTAATCATATTCATTTATTTTTTCTTTTCTATCTACTAAAAGCGTTTTTCTATTTTTTTCACTATATTCCACACAGACCAGACTGTTAAATTAAATCTAAGTATTGCTCTCTAAATGGTATTTGTACTGTCGAGCAATAAATGGTTTTTTATTATTAATAAGCTCAACCCAAGTTCACTAAAATCCATCAACGAACTTTATTCATATCAGCGACCTTCTTGTACTACATTTCCTTGCTTCTCAAGGTGGCCGGTAGGGGTATTAAGTATCTTTAAAAGTGACTTTATGTCGGTTTTTTTTTTTGACATTATATGGGTTTTTGTGACATTATGTAGACTTTCCTATGAGATGTCAACTTGGAACTAGCTGTCGTTTACTTGATGTGCACTAGTTGCGTAGCCGTCTGCTTCAGATATGTAAGTCTAAGGCCCGTATCGTCAGTCGTCCCTACAATTGTATGGCGCCTTTAGGGCCTCCTTGATTGTCATAGTTTTCTACTTCTGCGTGTCAGCGCTCTATTTTGAGGTTATGTCTCAAACATCTATTTGCATCAAATTGTGCTTGCTTTTGAGTTATATCATGTTTTATCAGCCTGAAATTTCCTACAATTTAAAAAGAAAACATATCTTCACAATAGGAGACCGCTGACGCTGATACCGGACAAGTGTAATCTAGAAATGTTTGAAGGAGAGAAAGGAATATGACAATCAAGGAGGCCATAAACGCGCCCTACAATTGTAGGGACGACTGACGATACGGTCCTAAGCTGTAGGTTGTATACTATAGCTGGAATGAAACGGGTGAAACTGTAGCGCATAGGTACTTCTTGAGGGTTTGTGTGATAATAATCTGTACTGATGATACCATTTGTTTCTTGCCTCAAATACACTTACTTGAGATCTAAGCTTCATCCTGAAAATTACATAAGCAAATTTACTAAATTTCAAAAATAAGAGAGATAAAAAAAGAAAATCCCTGGTTGGTGAAGTAGATAACAATTAAAAGGTGAGAGAATAGGCTCCAGATAAGGATATTTATGAAACGTGAAAAGGTTATTACTTCTTACATTATTTCTTATTTCCAGTGATTTAAATTTTATGGAAATGCAACTTGCGGTGTCAAATAGAAAATAAAAATCAGCGCCTAGATGTAAGGCGAAAATTGTTTGCGTGTGGTGTGGCTTAATTACACTCAACGCGGGTGCGGCGTGATCCTCGTAATGCTTCTCAAAACGCAAAAAACGGAGAAAATCATGATTTATGGTATTGAACATAACCCCTCTTCAGAAAGGACAACACAAGTAACTCCTCTGGTACAGCCAATAGGTATACCTTACGGGCAGCATTTTCAGTAATCATTTTCTCACATAGCAAATATTATATATTTTATACACATAATCATCACAGAATCATCCAGACGCGATCTTGCTACTCTGTTGCTAAACCAATTTTCGCTCTGTCACATCTCAAAGATATACTCTACAGGCTGTCTCTGCCGTCTGCAACCAACAACCCCCACTGGTGACGCTCACAGCATTCACAGAGTGCAAGAGCGGAATGAACTATTGCCCACTAGGAGCTGTCTAGTTAGCAAGTTGACATTTTGTCGGTTTTTTCGTAATAACCCTGCCACCCTGCCGGACATGGTGAAGCATCTCAATGACTAAGATCGCCAAGACTCAATTGAAAGTTCTTTGTTTCACTAACATTCGACATATCCACTATGTGTCCAACAAAGTGCGACTCTAGAAGGAACAATGGTGTCATGTCATGATGTAGATGTACTAATATGGCGAGGTGCATGGTGAGGTGTTCTGCTTCAATGTGTCCGTGCCCTTAGTCTTTAGGTTATAGTCACTGCAAAGTTGGTGTCTGTCGTCAGTCCGTCCCGTCCACAGGTCACGTCTGGTAGTTCAGCAAGTAGACAAGTTGTAGGGAAGTTCAACTATTGTGCACATGCTAATAATATGGGTGAAAGTTGTGGATTAAAACTATTTATTATATAGGATAAATAATTTATTTTCAAAAATAGTTTGTATCAAACTTGCTTGGCTTCATCAGACCAGTGAGATAATTTTCTGGATAATCTCCTGCGGAAAACTTTTCTTTGGACATTGGCCGTTCTGCTGCCTCTGTGAGAAATTTCCTAAAAATGTGACAACGGTCAGTTGATACAATGTAAAAGCCATGAAAAATTAGAATTTTCTTCTTAGATACATTATAAAAAGGTGGAGGGTGAATCAAATATAAACGGTAATTGTTCGGTTATTCTAAGAATGCAGTTACTTTCTAGATTATGTTGTGTGGAGTAGATGCTTGGTTTATAAGCAGTGGGGAAACCTGGAGAACGTCCTCATTTTCCACGATTTTTTTAAAACAATTAAGATATTTACAGTTTTTTGCCGACAAAAAGCTTGAACCAAAATTAAGCTAAACAATTAATGCTATATAGTCTATAGAGTTTTATACTCCATACTAGTTAAACCTAAGCGTACACTTATGCAGTCGGGCACACGAGGGACGTAGATTTGGATTGCCTACAATTATATATTGGTATTCATTCAGAATCTTATAAACAAGAATGACAAAAGGAGTTTCAATGATGGTTGCAAAGAAGGGCGACCAGTATCCTCAATGTACAAGTTGTAATAAAGAAATTAGGATTTTTCCAAGAACAGATACCCTCAAAAAAAATATAACATGTGTTGTGGATGTGCGCGCAATACAAAAAATGATGTTTTCACAGAGGGCGCTGCGTGACGCAATCCATCACTGATCTTGAGAAAGCCCTCATTTTTTCCTCCTAACGATTTTGTCCTTGAATCTACGAAATTTCAACGGATTATAGTGAGGTTTTTAACAAATGAAGGCGTTAAAACCGTCGGAAATTTTAACTCGTTTGCGAGCACAGTTTGGGGACAGTACACTCGGAATCGAGTGCTTAGGTGTGCGAGAAAACTCAAGGACAGACGAGAACAGGTTGAAAACGAAACTCATGATCGACGCCCAAGGACAAGCTTTACATGTGACAATATTCATGCCATTTGAGAGCTTATTGTGTTCGCCGGCTAACCGTGGAAGACATTCCATCAGAAGTGGGTATCAGCTATTCAAATGTTCCATCTATAGTCACTGATCAACTCTTGTTGACTGAAAACAGGTGAGCTCGGAGATCGCTGGAAGGTTTCGATTACAGCGCAAAGGGGAGAGAAGTTTTTAAAGCATATCGTGACCTTCTCCCTCCCCCCTTCGCCCGCTTCAAAGCTGGCAAGTAAGGTGTGGAGGAGGAAGAATGAAGATTGCCCAGTTGAGGTCCAGACTTGTTTCTCTGCTGGAAAAGCCCTTGTAACGATTTTTTTGACTATAGGAAACCCTTGAGCACCCCCCTTATAGTCCCGGCTAGTCCCCCTGTGAGTATTTCCTGTTCTCTTGTTCGTGCCTATGAAGGAATTACTGAGAGGATAACGATTTGGAGAACGATGAAGAGCTCGTGCGTGATTAGCTTACAATGCGCCCTCAAACATTCTATAAACAGGGAATACTGAAACTTCCAAACCGGTGTCAAAAGTGTGTAGAACTCTTATATTTGATTTACCCTCGTATCTTCTGTTATCTTATCATCAAGTCCTCCATAAATTGTTGCTCATATATACAGGGTGTCGCAATAATTCGTGGACATGGAAGAACCAAGTATTTTTAGACTCAAAATTAATCGATTGGACATGATTTATCTGTATGCAAAAGTGCTTCGTTTGTCCTTTTTAGGGCTTCAAAGTTTTCTTTTTAAAACACATTCATTAAGGTATTCAAAGAAGCGATAGTCCGATTTCGATTAAGTTTGGAACACATATGTTTTGCTACACGTTCTAATATTTGGCTTTTACGAAAAACTCTAAAGTGTTGGAGAAGGGTGAGAACGACTCCCACCTCTACATTATAGAAGAATGTTGTGGCAACATTTCGGACGACTCTGATTGTTCTATTTATCAGATTTTTTATTTACTTCATTTTTTGTCTCCTATAAAAACCAGCCATCTCGTATAGTTTTGGAGAAGAAAAATGTAGTTACATCAAGAGGTTCCCAATCGTCTTAATAATTATTTAAGTGTAGTTAGCGAAAGTAAACAAGTATTATACAACTTATACAATTTTATTTAATACAGGTAATAAAAGGTATTCAATATGACCGCTATTTTCGTTCCTGCACATAACAATACGGCGGAAACACTTGATGTAAAAAGAAAATTGTTTAGAAACCAGCTCCGAAGAACATGTTTTCTCCAAAACTATGCGAGAAGGCCTTTTTCTATAACAGACAAGAAATTAAGTAAATCAAAATATTAGTTAAAAAAATTCTGCTATAATTTATGTAGGGGTGGGTGTAGTTTTCACCTTTCTCGAATCCCTCCGGTGTTTTTTGTGAAATTCAAATATAATGACGTCTAACACACGTGTTTAAAATTTCATTCAAATCAGTCTATCGGTTCCAAAAATATCTGAAAAAATGTGTGAATGCTTTGACGCCCTCTAACGGACAAACGAGGCACTTTTGCATAGAGGTAAATCATGTCGAATCGACTTATTTTGGTTATATGTGGTTCATTTTCCACGGAATATTAGGACACCCTGTATACGTTGTTGTAGTTCTGCAATATATGTTCATCATTTTCAGTGTGTCTCATGGATTTTTTTAACAGCATCAAAGCTTGCAAGTAACGGTAATCTTGATACTCACCAATCTCTTCCGTTAACAATCCCATGTACATGTGGTAGTTCAAATCCATTGAAGTCTGATGCTATAGATAGAGAGTAGGCTCCGGTTTCTTCAAAAACCACCCATTCTCCAATCGCTAGCTCGGGAAGAAGTACTGTCTCGGGAGAAACCCGGTCGGTACCATCACAGGTGGCACCCCAAACTGTACTTGGATAAACTGGTGCTCCTTTAGCTTCTTCGACGGGAACTATTTTAGCGTACAGGTCGTAGAGGCCTATAACAAATGAAACAAAACAATTAATAATTGGTATCATGATATCTCTGGTTTTGAGGTTGTCGTTCAAATTTTCTATAAAAATAACATTAACACATAAAGCTTCGAGTCACTGGACAACAGTATTATACGCCAGTTGAAGGTGTTTTAAAAAACGTTCAAGCAGAAATTTTGATTCTACCTAAGTAAAAAAATCACGTCAAGCAGGTTGACTATGCGTTCCTACGCAACGTTATCATCAGGTCATAAAGGATGATGTTCGACAGAAGTTGGCCCCTCTGAGGAAAAAGTAAGCTACAAACAGGTATAACAAAAAAATTAAGTGGATCAAGTTAGTCAAACAGACTCATACAATTAAAAATTGCATATTTAGCATGTTTCTTCTTTCGTACAATTTTGGGTCTCTTTAGGATTTGAGTTCTTGAGGAGATATGCTATTCCTCGATCTTCAAAAAGTATTGGAGACAGACGCCTTTATACAAAAGTTATCTCTTTCCTTCAGAAAAATTCCTGCGGGCGCACATGATCGGAACTATAAGGATTTTTTCGCGAGTCCACGGTGTAGCACAGTGCACTACCGGGAACCGATACTCAAATTTTCGCGAAGAACGAGAATAGGGGAAGACGGATGTAACGTCGTCCGAATGTCAAAAAATCACGTGGTACGGGTACCCGCCTAACGTCTGTGAGGTACTAGCGGGTGACAGGTGTTATGTCAATGTCATTTAAAAAACAGGCATTTCAATTGAAAATTTATCTTGGCAGTGCTGAAAATTGAGTTAAATTATTAAATCATAAATGGAGGAACACGTCCACCTGATTTTAAATGGCGAGGGAGAAGGTCATCGAAGATATATGATCCGCACCTGTCATATCAAATGATTGATTTTATTGATATATATATATGTATATTGCACAAAAAATTATCGGTCTTTTTATTTCAGATTCAAACAAGTCAGCTAAATTTATCAAGGAGCTTAAAGCAAACATTTTGCGCAACATGCGCCGTCTAACCACTCCCAGTGTAACTTGAAACTGTCAAAACTTCGAGAGGAAGGGGAAATTCCATCTGTTCCCGCTCCAGTTCACTACGGGATCTCGCGAAAAAATCTCTTATATCTATATCTGGCATGGTTCACGATTGACGGTCCATATCACGAGAGGGTCTGAAATATTTCTCTATCATGCTAAGTTTTACGGATGAATGTAGTGAAATATACCTATAAGGGTGTGTAGAATTACCGAGGATGAAGTCGTATAAGTGTGCCAATGTGACAAAAAATTCAGGTATACTTTCCCCCATCCCAGTTGGTTACCTCTGACATTCTTTTAAAAATGATCAAGTTCTTCTGAAACGTCATAAAACGAGGTTTGAGCGCTTTTTTTAACTTTTTTTGCATCTAGCTCCGCCACCACTGGATCGATTTTCAAAAGCTATAAAGGTTTTTGTCCTTGGCATACCTAGAAGAAATCTTGCGTGACAATTTCATCAAAATCAGACCGGTACTTTCCAAGTTAAAGCGGGGTCAAGTACTAGCGGACAGACGTATCGACAGAAATGAGTGACATGATTTTTCGTGATGTACATACATATTATATAACATCCAAAGCACATATGATTTTCGAAATTTTTCACGATTACAATACTTCTACTCCAGTGGCGTAAGAAGTAAAATCAATAGTACTTTTTTAAATTACAGGATATTCCGTGAAATCTCCTTTGGACGGACACCAACGGAACAGATTGAAAGTATCCGTTCACGAGGAGTGTCCGTATAAAATAAATATAACAAAAATCGTGTTTTTAATGAAAACTGAATATATTAAAGACACTGGGACATTTAAAACGTATATGTACCTATATAAATGTCGAGGTTCAACAAATGATAAAGTTTTCATCGTCAGTCAATAAATTCTTATTTTTGAGGATATCTGACAGTATATTAAGTGGTAAGTCATCTTCTGGGCCAGGTGTATCAGCCTTATTTAACTGGTCTTCGCTTTATACATTGTCATGCTCAAATCTTACTTTGCAGAAGCAATTTTGCACTGTGTCTTTGGTTAGTTGGTCCCAAATAAGCTCCATCCAATAACGTAATTTTCTTTATTAATTCAAAAGCTGTACCAGCAGTTTCAATGTTTACTAGAAGATGTTTGAGTATTAGACTTCGGTAATAAGTTTCAAAACTCTGTATACTCCATTGGCCAAGTGGTTGGCCAATTAGGGAGCAAACATAAGATTTTTATATTATTTAAGCGAATGTCTTTTTGCATTGCCTAAAATTTCTTTTTTCTTCAGCCATTTTCCAATCTAGGTCTTGCAACCACTGTCATAATTTGGCGCCATTTCTACAATGAATGCGTCGCCCACTGTCTTTTCCTCATAGACGCATAGATGGCCAATCAAGCAATTATATACGTAATATCTTTAGCCAAATATCAACCTTACATCTTTACGTTTCATACATGCATTCTTTGTATTCTACAATTTATCAAACATCATGAGAAAAAGCCTCTATACATACTCTACCTATGGAATGGCGAATTGTATGAAATATGATATACAGAACTGTAGAGAATGTTATACATACATGAGATTGACCGATACCGATATGTATATCGGCAATACTTATATGAATCGACCGATATGACTGTATCGGCATATGATATGACCAATCGATATAAGTTATAGAGTTAATAACGTTTAATATCATTGAATTGAAAAAAATCTATACTTGCATACATAAACATATATTTTAGTTGTATTGAAATAACCTAATTTCTGACGCGTATAATAAAACGAAACTTTGCTTTGCATTTCGGTATACTCATATCTGTGATATTTAGAAGAATAACATTTTATATCTGATTTGTTCGCTGTTTTTCTCCAAAGAAATAGTTTTATGTGTAGGGCACAAATTACACCATGGTTTCGTCAATCTTTTAATGAGTAACTTTATCGGGATAATCCCAGAAAGCGCTAGTTTTCCGTATGTTCGACATTCTCATACTGTATTAAACTTCATGCAAGCAAAACAGTCAAAGTAAGCGCTTAAACTTTAATGCATGAAGGTGTGTAAGCGAAAATTTACTTGTAAGAATCCTATCTCTTCTACAAGTCGGGCTTGGGAAAAGCACATGTACTGCATGTGTATGGTCAGGGAAGGAAAATATATTTTTGTATTTCTTATCTCTTACGATCAAGACAAAAGCAGCCAAAGCGTGTATGTGGTTGTCATTCATTACGCTTTAAAATGTTACTGTTCAAGTCCTTTTGTACCGAGAATTACATGTATCAAATATTTGTACAAGTATACTTGTCGAGTAGGTATACAGTTAAAATTTCAAAATGATTGCACTGCTGTAAAGCCCTTTGACCTTTAATAATGTGTGGATGCACCCTGATGTGCTACGCATTCTCCAACGCGCCTAGGCATGCTTCTGATCAGGTGGTCAATGTCCTCCTGTGGTATCTCATTCCAGGCAACCACCAACTCCTCTCGAAGTGCTTCTAGAGTCTGAGGAGGACGTTGCAAATTGAGCAATCTCCTACCCATCATATCCCACACGTGCTCAATTGGGGTTAAGTCGGGAGATCTTGGTGGCCATGGTAATAATGTGACATCATTATGTTGAAAGAAGTCTATTGTGACTCTTGCAACATGTGGTCGGGCATTATCTTGTTGGAAAGTTGGATCTGCCAGGGTGTCAAGATAGGGTAAAAGATGGGGTTCTAGAACTTCGTGGATATAACGCTGCGCGTTCATGTTACCTCTGATGAAGATTAAAGGTGACCTGGAACCATAAGCTATAGCACCCCAAACCATAACTCCAACAGTGTGATGAACATGTCTTTCAACAAAAAACTAACTGTGGATTCCTCCTTTCACCAGGTCGCCTTCTAACCCTGGCACGACCATCGTGCATGCCTAAACAAAATCGAGACTCGTCACTAAAGACAATACTGTTCCATTCCTGATCCCAGAGTGACTGTTGTCTGCACCACTCAAGGCGATTACGTCGGTGCTCTCGAGTTAAAGGGAGGACCCAGTGTGGCCGGTATGAAAACAAGCCAAAACTTCTCATTCGTCGGTAAACACATCGCATGCCAATAGGTCTTCCGTGTTCTGCAAACCATTCATTTGCAATGGACCTGGTAGTGGAGAAACGGTTCCTTAAGGCCAATAATCTTAGGCGGCGATCTTCACGGTCTGTTGTTCTACGGCGGCGTCCAGTGCCCCTTGCTCTTTGCGTACGGCATTCTCGAAGCCATGCCTGACAACACCTAACCACAGTGTCTACACTTCTTTGCACTATAACTGCAATTGCCCTAAAAGAAAGTCCAGCTTCCCGAAGTCCCACTATACGGCCCCTATCAAACTCACTAAGTTGACGAAATCGTACAGGTCTCCGTACTCTAGGCATCGTAACCGATCGTAAAGGATGTCAAGAACCAAAATCCGCCAACGTTGATTCTTTACTGCGGCTGAAATATTCATTTTTAGAGCGTTAGTGAATTTAAAAGAAGCCGTATAAAAACCGGAATGTCCAACTGATAAGGCTGAAAATTTGTTCACTTGTTATTTACAGTAAGATAAATACATTCACCAACTTTTATTAAAAAAAAACCATTTAAACTGGGTGTTCGGATTTATATGTCACTTAGTATAGTTCGGTATCAATATAAATACGGGTATTATTACTTTTTTTATCACACATTTTACACACTTTCGGCAAATACCAACACAACAATAAGCAAACCAAATCAGAAAAACACTGCAACACTGGTCGCCGACCATCAGCTTGCATATACGAGTACATACCTTAGATGCTGACATGAGATTGTAATGATATTGTTGAGCAGAATTATAGAATATCAAAGATTCGTGCAAAGGGCGATGGGATGGATGAACTTTGATTCTCTTATTAGTGTTGTCAAAGATCGAAAAACCACGAACGATCGTTGGTCGGAAGACTAAGAAGTAACACGACTCCCGAAATCATTGAAGATTACCCATTTTTAGCGGAAATAAGTAGGTCTAATAATAATAATACGTACCTAGGATAATAGAGTTGAATACACGATGTCCACATAGTACGTCCTGATCGGTTCGCTATCATTTTGAATAGACAGATATTTTTTCGAATGGATTTGGGTGACTAAAGTGAATGCCGATATCACAAAATACTGTCCTGGCTCTGCTATTATTTTAATAGACGGATCCGGAAAGTATTGATCTATGAATTCATTAACAGCGACCCCCACCTGCAAATATAAAAAAGGCATCACTAAACATAAACATTTTCTATATTTTGTTTCTGATAGGTACGGCATTTTTTTAAATTTTGCTTCGACGGAATAGTTGAGGCGAAAGTTTCTGAACTAAGTGACATATAAAATGCAACACCCAGGATTATTTATTGAATTTTGATAAAAACTTGTAAACATATTTGCTATCATGGTATACGCTGATCAAATGTTGAACGCATTTCTAGCCGTAATTTTTTTGTAAAAGCTTCTTTGTCATATCAGAATCCGGACAATGTGAACATGTTTACTTAATATTCAGTGATTTTTATTTATTGGTTCGATTCGTTTTATTGTGGCTTCATAGCATTATCATGTCTAGAGGTCACAGTAGCGCTAATTCCACTCAACTTTGTTTGAGAGGGGTCAGATAGTCGGGTTACGTGATGCCGGATTTTCTTTTAGAGAAATCGCTAATCGGGTGAATCGAAACGAAGCTACTCTAATGAGGTGTTATTAAGCGTGGTTCCAAGAAGGCCGAAATCGACGACTTAGAGGTACTGGACGTCAAAGGTAGACATGATCGTTATTTGGGGCAACTAGCACTTACAGATCGATTTTCCACAACAAGTGCAGTTGCGAACCAGTGATTTCATCCTGTCGGAAGGACAATAACAATGACAGTTCTTCGCCGAATAAGGTCTTTTGGACTGTTTTCATATCGTCCCCATCTTGTACTATCTCTGACACCACAGCATCGTCGGCAACGATTAGTATGCAGTAGGGAGAGACTTGAATGTAATATAGAATGGAACTCATTCGTGTTCAGCGATGAGTCCAGATTCTGTTCTGGCACACATGATGGCCGTGCAAGAGTAAGGAGGAGTCGTGGTGAAAGACGAACGGCATATTCAACGCACTGTGGGTATTGTGATATGGGGTACCGTTGCTCACGGCATTTGCTTCCCTTTTTGTAAACATTGAAAGTCCACTTTTTCAGCAGGACAATGCACAATCTCATGTCGCACGTGTTAGTTTAGACTTTTTAGAAGCGCCCCGAGTAAATCTGCTTCAGTGGCCTCCTCGATCTCCAGACCTTTCCCACATCGAACATGTATGAGACATGATGGGAAGAAGCTTGCACAATTCACCTTACCCTCCAAAAACATTGGAGGCTCTACGAAACCAAATTCAGATGGCCTGCGATACAATACACCAAGAAGACATCAGTCACCTAATCCAATCAATGCCGCGACGACTTAACGAATGTGTAGAGGAGCTTCAACACATTATTAACATTAAGGGGTATCTCAGCTATTTTGCGAAATTTCGAGTCAAGATTTTAATTACTTTCTATTTATTAGTAGATCTTGTAAACTTGTAAAAGTATGCTCAAAATTACAGCACTCCTAGTCGGTGTTGCATTTTCTATATTATTTAGTATATTAACGTAATTTTCCACGCGCCGTCCTTAAAGTGTGACCCTACTTCTGCCATGGAAGCTCGGCTTCCCTTAGAAATGTCTATGTACTATAATAAATTACCGAGTTCCACAGAAGCACCAACATGTTTATATTGAAGAAACGTCTGAGAAGATTTATGTCTCAAAGGCCCGTATCGTCAGTCGTCCCTACAATTGTAGGGCACCTTTATGGCCTCCTTGATTGTCATAGTTTTCTATTTTTCCATGTCAGTGCTCTATTTTGAGGTTATTTCACAAACATCTATTTGCATCAAATTGTGCTTGCTTTTGAGTTATATCATGTTTTATCAGCCTGAAATTTCCTACAATTTAAAAGGAAAACATATCTTCACAATAGGAGAGCGCTGACGCTGACACGGGACAAGTGTAATCTAGATATTTTTGAAGGAGAGAAAGGGTTATGACAATCAAGAAGGCCATAAAGGCGCCCTACAATTGTAGGAACGACTGACGATACGGGCCTAAACTGTGACCAATGCTTTACTAATTGCCTATCCAGTATGGTTATTATTATTTTAGCAGGCATGAGACAACCTTTATTTTTTTCTATTTGTAGATGTTCTAATCGATCTATCTGTTTACTGTAATTGTTCTTAACATATTTGTTATATGTTCATTGCATATGTAAAAATCCGTCTATGTAACTAGTATTTTTTTTTGTTTTAGCTATTTGTTTATTTCTTGACATTGTTATATTTATACAACTGAGCGCGACGTGCAATTTATTTATGTACTGTATGAGGTTGACAAGTCTTAATTTGCAATGACCAATAATACCATAAACATTATCTATCTATATACCTATCCATTTATTTTAGAAGGAACGTTCTGTCGTACTTGACAAGAAATTACTGATAGAGGTTGGTAGTTGTCGTGGAGCCTCAGCTATAGTTGTAGTCACCATCTTTGGCGGGTAAGTAAGACTACCAGTATTCCTTTACATATCTCCATATCCCTCCTACATACACATACACATACACATGCAACCTACCTCTGTGTGTGAACGTTTGTTCGGTTAGCTCAAAGACATACGTTTTTTAGTTGTGTGTCTCCGTCTCAAAAACTTTGTCGTTACGAATGAGTGCCCGTCAATCATATTTGTCCGCGTGACAACTTACTTGACATCGGCGTGCAATTTGAGTTGTCCTGTTATCAATCTTCAATATAAAATTGTACAATGCCCGGAAGCACGATCAATGGAGGAGGCCGACAGAGGTCGTGCTAAATTTATTAGAGTATTTCCAGGAAAAGAATGAAAACAGCTGTCTCCTGTTACCCACTTCATGCGTACTGGAGAAAGTAGCAGATGCTCTGTAGATTAGTCTGCGCCCATGGTATGGAGACTCGATCTGTTTACTTATTTCATATGGCGTTGATGACGTAACCACCAAGAACGGTGACTACAACGATAATTGTTTATGTACATAAAAAATTTGGCAAATCCAAGCTAAGGCTCCTAAACCTAAAGGGTACATTTTAGCTTACCTCGTTAATCGAAGATCCCGTATTACCAGAAAACCCTCCACCGATATCCAACAACTTGAATTGATAGCCAAGTTCTGCGGCCGTATCAAAAACCTTTCTTGCGGCTACGATAGCCTTTTGATAGACATCAAGGTGGGTGTTTCCCGATCCAATGTGAAAGGAAACCCCAATCACTTCCAAACCGAGCAATCTCGCCTTTTCCAAAAGATCTTTCGCTTCCGTGTCTGGATTGGCTCCAAATTTTCCTCCTAATGGAAAATTTGACTTCGGGTCATCGTACTTCATCCGTAGAACTAACCTTGAAGTACATACCATCTATATCAGGGTATCCCAACTTTTTTTTGTTGAGGCTCCCCGGACTATAAATTATATTTTTATGCCCCCCTTTACTTTTTCAATAAATACAAAAAAACGCACATTATATAGGTCAAAGACTTTTATTTTAATTCTAATAAAACATTTTTAAAAGTCTAAATAAACTAACAAATGTTCTTTATCGAAAAACTTGAATAAAATGAGAGTAGATACTAATGAAACACTTGAGATTGCATGTTCTGTACCAGTTGGTTGATTCTAGGTTCTGTTTTTGCCAGAGCTATCATCAGGCTGCTATCGACATCAAGGCGATTTCGCTGTTTAGTTTTAATTAAAACTGGAGCAGAAAAGCCTGTCTCACACAAGTAAGTTGAAGGAAAAGGAACTAGTATTTGTAAAGCAACAGAGGCAAGTGTCGAATTAACAGGTAATCTTTTGATCCAAAATTTCTTCAATGTTAAAAGATGGAAGTCATCTTTCATGGACGAATCAGCCTTCATTTCTAGAAATTCTTACTGAACTTCTTCTGGTGTGACACATCGACAACAAATGGATTTCTTGTCATGTGCCATATTGATGACTCTGCATTCAGGTCTCGAAATTCGTCTTCCAGCGCTTGCAAATGAGTTTTTATGTCAGCTTTTAAATTTGCGTCCAGTATGTTATTTTTAATTGCTTCGAACAGCCTAAAAAAAGATATAACATTTTCAAAAGACACTTTTTGATTCCAAAGTTGAAGCTTTGATATGAACCCCTGAATATAATCATTAGTGCTTATTATAGTATAATAATAATAATATATTTCCATTCGACTTGTACAAACAAGTATGGGAAAGTGTCATAAATAAATAAACATTACACTGAATGGGTTGAATATACATATAGATATGTATATATATATATATATATATACTTCCGCATCTTAAATTTACATAAATAAATCAAGTCACATTATTAAAAACATATAGGATATCTAACAATATTAGAGTACATAAACAGCACGACAAGAGCACGATAAAATGTAAATTAAAATTGATGGTTGAGGTACTCATCAACAGAGTAAAATGGATATAGCAACAAATCTCGTACTTTGCGTTTGAAGACTGAAATAGATACCATGCCCTTAATCGACACGGGTAAGTGATTAAACAATCTCACAGGCATGACAGAAGCCCCTTTGGAGATAGAGGCAAGCCTGTGAGTAGGTATAACTACATTGTGGTTTGTGTGGAGGTTATAACCAGAGCTGATAGCCACATCATTTCTGGAGACATAGCTTTCGTAATTTTCTTTAACATAAACGACACACTTATAAACATACAACGAGTATACTGTCATGATCTTCAGGTATAGTCGAAATCACGAAAGATGACGATTACGTCATCATTTTAGTCGTGTAGTAAAGACAAACGACAGCGATTTGTGAATATTTTTAATGAAGTTTCAGATATGTTAGACAGAGACAAACAGAATTTTCTAAACAGACTGTATTGCTAACTTGCATGTATCCGATAAAGAAAGACGATGTTTCCACGATGCATGATCGATCATATTTGAAAGATGAATAGTTAGGTTATGTTAAAGCAGGTTAGGTTGTTTCCGAATACTTTGGTCTTTGGTGTTCCTGTCTTAAGGTTCTACTCATAACTGGTTTTTTTTCAAAACAAAAACTCTGCACTAAAATTATTATTAAGGTATCACCCAAAACCATGAAATAAAAATAATCAGTGAAATAACCTAACCTCGCAAAATCATAATATAAATTTGTTGTCATTGTGTTCCTGACATCGTGATTTTATCATCGACGTACGTCCATTGATTACTTCAGTACAATTTATGGTATGACGTAATAGTCATCTTTCGTGATTTTGACTATAACTGAATAATTCTCTGCATGAATGCCTGGAGTTTTTAAGCAACATGGTTCTGATAATCCTTTTTTGTACTATAAATAATTCACCAACCCTGTTACTACCACCCCAAGCAACAATGCAATAGCTTAGTGTGGAATGGACGTGAGCGAAGTAGTAAAGCTTTAATATTTGAGTACTTACGTGACGTCGAAGCTGCCATATAATGAATGATTGGGTTGACAATCGCTTGATCAAACACTCAATATGTTTACCAAATGTTAGCTTAGTATCTAAATAAACACCAAGGAATTTTGTGTAGTTGTTCTGTCTTAAGTTATATCCCTCGCCATAAACACGTAGGCTGAAATTTAAATCTATATTTCTGAATAGAACTACATCAGTTTTTTGTGAGTTTAAGATAAGGCCATTGGAGTTACAATAATTTCTCATTTGACAGAAAGCATTATTTGTAATGAGTGAGGATAGGAAGCATGAGTACTGAATGTAGTATCATCTGCAAAAAGTGTTTTGAATACGCCAGGACAAGAAGTCGAAATATCGTTGACAAACAAAATGAATAACAAAGGTCCTAAAGTGCTCCCTTGAGGCACCACTGTTGATACTATCTTGGCATCAGATTTATATGATTCAAAGTTATTAGTGATTTTTACTGATTGCATCCTATCCTGTTTTAATCCAATTATACGTGCACCGTCCTTTAATAAATCCAAACTGCACTGAATTAAGTAAGTTTTGTTGACAAATAAATTGAACAAGTCTGGAATAGTAGGCTTTCTCATATACCTTAGAAAACGCAGAGAGAAGTGCAATTCCTCGGTAATTGGCTATGACAGTTACATCATTCTTTTTGTGAATAGGGACGATAACTGTTTTTTTAGTCTTGATGGAAACACGTCATCAGTAAAAGACCTATTAATGAGATAATAAATTGGTTTGGCTAATAGATCTGCTACTTTTGCTAGCAGCGAGCAGTGTACTTCGTCATCGCCACTGGATGATTTTTTTGAAATCTCACTGATAATGTTTATGGTTTCGCTGTGACTCAATGGATGAAGAAAAAATGAAAAAGGATTTTTAGCGGTATGCTTGGTACTAGTATCAATATTGAGATTTTGCGTTAAAGATTGCACAGATTCCAAGAAATAATTATTAAAGGAGTCAGCTAACTCTTTCGCAACGAGCTGTGATCCATCATCTCTAAGAAAATTAACGTTTGGACTCTTAATCCTAGACCCACTGTGTAGTTTTATTAAATTCCATGCAGCTTTAGGCATGTTTGAGGAATTTTGGATTTTTTCAGCATGGTATTTGCTTTTAGCTTCCTGAATTTTACGTCTGTGTATAAATTTCAGAGTTTTGTATCGTTCGTGTAAGTCCGCACTTCCTGTATATTTATAAGCAGCATGGATACCTATATCGCAGAAGTATACCCTCCTCGATAATTTTATCATTCACCCAAGGTTTTCTTATGGGCTTATTACTTAATTTGAAGCTAGTTAACGGAAATGCCTTATCCATTATACCTATGAAAATATCATGGAATAAAGAAAATTTAATATCACAACATGCCAGGTTCTCCAAGCAACCCCAGTCCTGATATGAGAGTAAACTAAAATTGTACAGCTTATTTTCATCATCAAAACACCTTTTTGATATATAATTGCTGTATGAGCACATGCTGGACTCATCAAAAATTAGCTCAGCTATTTGTAAAAAATGATCGGATAGGTCACATGGTTCAATTTCAGCCTTCAAACGCAGCGAGTCGCCATTACAAAAAATATTATCTATTGTAGTACCCGAATTATTTTGGACTCGGGTGTGATTAAAAAATAGAGGATCAAAACCATAACACTTGAATATATTTTTACATGCAACAGCATTTTTAACATTAATGCCTACGTCAAAACTGATGTTAAAATCTCCACATATAAATACTGCGCTGTTACCCAAAACACTTATGAAGCTATCCAGATAATCTAAAAATGCAGAAACGTCTGAATTAGGTGATCGATAAATAGATCGGACTGTCACATTATTACTATTATACTTGACAGATGTTAACGCATACTCAAACATAGATTCTGTTTTAATTACCTTGTTTGATTTCACTTTAAAAGTGATACAATCTTTGATAAAAATTGCTACACCACCTCCTTTCTTATTAACACGAGTGAAGTAGTCAGTTAGAACATAACCAGTCAAATGAATGTTACCTATTTCATCTGCATCACACCAAACTTCAGAAACAGATAGAACCTCAGGAAAATTGATTTCATGGAGAAGAAGATCCAAGTCATCTACTTTATTTCGGAGGCTTCTGATATTTAAATGGCATATTCGAATTCCATTTACCTCGGTTTCCTGCGCCTTGATCATATAACTATCTTCATTTGAAGCTATGCGTCTGAGGCTTTCTATGTTCTTATGTGTTGTTTCTGCCCTGAAGTTTCAAGTTTAGCTCATTCAACGAGTCAAATATGTCAGTTATATAAGCCAACCTCCATTGAAATGTGTCATCTTTGAACATTGTCAAGAAATCGTGTTTTTCTTTGAACTCAAGAAAAAGAATTATTACCTCTTTTTTCAATTTATAGAGACGAGCCAATATGTTGCCTTTAAACATCCAGCGTACTTCTGTATGGAACAGAAGAACTTTGTGATCAGAATCGATATCCTCGCAAAGGAAAGTAAATAACCGAATGTTCAAAGCGCTGCACTTGATGTAGTTTACAATCCTTATAGCCGAGTCCAAAGTCTGTCGAAATTTCTGTGGCAATGTTTTGGAAGCCAAAGCTTGCCGCTGAATATAACAATGTGTACTAACCATTGCGATATTTTTTTCCGTGAGCTTTTTAGCTAAGCCAGATCGTACACCTGTCATTGCAGGTGCGCCATCTGTGCAAAGTCCAGTGAGCTTCTTCCAATCCAAATAATTTTTTTCAACAAAGTTTGATATTGAATTAAAAGATTAACAGATTGGGAGTACAAAATCTCTTATTGAATGATATCTCCACCGATGTAACGAACATAAACTATTAACTGTGCAGAATTAATGATGTCGGTGGATTCATCACAAATAAAAGCAAAAATGGCGACAACTTTACTTTGTTAATTATTTGTGACTTTATGTCTGCTGCAATGTCATCGATTCTACGCTTGACTGTGTTATTCGAAAGAGAAATAGACTTCATTTTTTGCTCTGCATCTTCTCCTAAAATTAGATGCGTGGGTTTTAGGACACATGGTTTTATTAATTCTTTACCGATGATATGAGGCTTATTTTGCCTTTCAACGCGATTGGGCCTCATGCTATCATTACGTAAAACTTTCATACATATCATACACTGAGGCAATTGTAACTCGTCTTTTTCTATGAAGGTAAATCCAAACTTAACGTATTCTTCGGAAAAGTTTCTTTTTTTTTCGCTGCCGTTTTGCTCCTATAACAATAAAACAAATAAGTAATAAATAAGCAAAATGCTTACATGTCATTACTAATTATATGTCCATTATTTTATCCTAATAACGTAATGTATTCACCAGCATATTGGCCACCAGGAGATTTACATTTTTGTAGGCAGGTTGACGTTATAATAGTAATTTTAAATACATTTGGAATCAACATTAGGTACTTAAAGTTCGTCGATTCAAAATTATTTCGCCACGTTGGCGTTGGTTTGATTGTGATGTGGTAAAAAAGTCCCAATGGCCGATCTATGAACGCATCTCCACTCAATCAACAATTTAGTAAATTAAATAAAAATGGTAACTGAAGTTAGTAAATACACAAACTTACCTTTTAACAGTGAGACACAATAATTTGACACACTCAAACAGATTTCTCAACAAAACATGTAGACCGAAACGTCAAACTTTTCGCAAGTTTGTGGAAATTAATGTCACAGATGCTCATTCGCGTCTTGTAGGTTCACAATTGTTATCTAAGTGATGAATGTTAAGCGGAGCGCGGCGGATGTGCGCGCGTATTTCATGTTTTGACTTGTCGGAACGTATATAAACTGCGATTGACGACGCCAGGATTTGAAACAGCGGTTGACAGAATAAGTGAATATGATATTTAATTTCTAATTTTATGCGTGTAAATTAAACATTACATTGTAATGTTATTTGTTAATGTTGTTTATTTATTTTTTTTGTCTAAAAATGCAAACGCTTTAAACCCCCCTTGACACCTCTCTATGCCCCCTTTAGGAGGCCCGCCCCGCTCGTTGGGAACTCCTGATCTATATGGTTCAAGCCTATAATAGTCTAAACATATTAGCAAATATCCCCGAAATAGTTGTAAAGTCTGGTTTTATTAGTGTAGGTTATTTAGGGGGTATTAAAAACATGGACGCATAAAATGGGTACACGAATTTTTGTGGGAAAACTTTTTATTCGACAACAAATAATGAGAAAACGCGTTTTTTGGGATTCAAACGAAAGTGTTGACATGAACGACAAACTTTTTCAAATAAGATCTTTAGGTATTTATGAGACCTACAAAATGAGACCGCACGTGAAAAGATTCGAATAGTATGGTCAAAAGACGAGGCAAAAAGCAGGTTTTGGCACTTGTTTGTAATGCGACGATAATTTCACGCCACTGCTTGAAATTTTTCATATCCGTAAAATTCATACTTCTAAATAACAACAACAAAATTGGGGTATATTGGTCAAGTAGTTTTTCAGAAATTCTAATTGTTTATCGCAAAACACCTGTTTTCCGGCCATCACTACTAGCTTATTGAGCAATATACAGCCTTCGTTCAAAAAGCATTTATTAGCAAAATAATATGCGAAAAACGAAGATTACGTTTTTTTCTTCTAACCAAATTCAAACATTTCATATTTGTGAGCAAGTGAACAAATGCTTCGAAAAACAGACTTTACTATACAAATTTTAAAATTAAGCGGATGTGTCACTCACAAATACGAAATTTTTGAATTTGTATAGAAGGAAAGATACGTAACCTTTGTTTTTCGCATAAAAGTAACATTTATCTTTTGGAATGGTTTGTGATTCATACTGGCTAGGTAAAGTAGCGTATTTTGCTATAAAATGCCCTTTTGCTCAATAAACTGGCCGGACAACAGGTGTTTTGGGATAAACAATTAGAAATTCTCAAAAACTACTTGACTAGTCTATTTCAATTTTGTTGTGGTCATTTAGAAGTATGAATCCTACAAATTTGAAGGATTTCAAGTATTAGTAGTATTACCAACAAGTGCCAAAACCTGCAGTTTGCCTCGGTTTTCGGCCATAATTATTTTGCTATTAGTCGCATCTTTTTACGCGTGGTCTCATTTTGAAGGTCTCATAAATATCTAAAAATCTTATTTGTAGAGTTTTTTCGTTCCTGCAAAACACTTTCGATTGAAACCCAAAAAACACGTTTTCTCATTATTTGTTGGCGAATAAAAAGTTTTCCCACAAAAATTGGTGTACCCATTTTATGCGTCCATGTTTTAAATATCCCTTGAACCACATGCAGCAATAAAACCAGACTTTACTATTATTTCGCAAACCAGCGGTATTTTCGTCTAACATGATTAGACTATAAACATTTCTCATTTATTAAGGAACTACCAGCGCGACAATCCGAGATTCCTTCCCAATCGCTGGGAGAAAATCTTCACTGAGAAGAAAATTTAATCAAACCAATTGAAATTTTGATTAGGCCTGTCAAAAAATATAATTACCCATGTGACAGCTAACAAGTCTAATTAATTTAATTAAACTCTGATTTCTAAAACAATTTACTTAAATCTATGAAACTAGTTTAATTAAACCAAAACGCAATCATTTAATTAAATTCTATTAAACGGTTTACTTAGATTGCTAACACCAGTTCATTTAAAATCAGTGAACTATTGAAATGATTTTACCTGTTCCAAGTAAAACTATATTTATTAAATTCGTTTAATTAGTTCAGGTAAAAGTGTTTGCCTAGTTTTGATGAATTATTTTATTCAGATTTGAATCGATATTTGGATATTTAGAATTTAAAAAAACTAACTGCATTTTACTGAATGATATATATGTGCTCTGACAAATCTTAGATGTCAAAAAATGTTGAGAACTTGATATTGATAGAGGATGCTTTCATAACAAAACAAAAACTTCCGAATTTTATAACCCTAACATTATGTATGGGATCATGTTCTACTAACTATGTGTCTTTTTATCCAGAAGCAGGTTGTATAACCATTCACTAGAAGAAATGCTTTGTTTTAATTTCAGAAAGTATGGAAATGAATACCTGAAACTAAGGCCACTTGATTATGTGTACAAAAAGTGTACTTTTATTTCTAATAATAAAACAATATTGCACTCACCCGCATTTAGCGCATTTACATATATAAATATATATATATATATAACAAAAAGCAGGAAAATAATGGGCAATATCCGCAAAAAGGAGGAAAGTGGATTCGAGCAGAAAATAGGATAGGTAACCCGAGCGATACGTATTTCTGCACCCGTATTCGGATGTGTGGGTATGTGTATCTACTTTTGTAGTTTCATATGTGCATTCATTTCGGACCTGATGAAGTAAACCAGCAGAAATACATATCGCTCGGGTTACCTATCCTATTTTCTTCTTGAATCCACTCCTCCTTTTTGCGGATTTTGCCCATTATTTTCCTACTTTTTGTTATATACCTTTCTCCGCATGATCATATTCTCTTTGTAGATCCTTTGGGCTTGAAGTACCACAGCAAGTGCCTATAACCGGCCGCGTGGTTGTGGTTAGATGTCTCCTTGAAAATTCGAGGTCATATAGCCATTTTATACTACAATGTGTAGGTTGGCTCTTGTTGTGGACTTCGTGTGCCGTTTTTCCCCCTCCAACTTAGTTTCCTCAGGTTACACCCGTATCCGGATGTGTGGGCATGTGTATCTATTTTTGTAGTTTCATATGTGCATTCATTTTGGGCCTGATGAAGCCAACCAGCAGAAATACGTATCGCTCGGGTTACCTATCCTATTTTCTGCTCGAATCCACTTTCCTCCTTTTTGCGGATTTTGCCCATTATTTTCCTACTTGTTGTTATATACCTTTCGCCGCATGATCATATTCTCTCTCTCTCTCTCTCTATCTATATATAATAATAATAATAATAATAATAATATTTATTCACTCAATGTACAAAGATAACAAACAATATGAGTAAATAAATATAAAATCAAAACAGGCCCAATAGAAGGCATTGCCTGTACATGGACCAATAAATTTAAGTTGAAACTGTAGAATGCAAATGACAAAAAAGGACAAAAATTAGCTACAGTAGATTATGTATTTAGTTGATGTTCGTATTTATGAGTTTATGAATTTCAGTCCTAGATATAGAATATAGCCACTTTTTTAAATTTCTTTTGAAAAAATTTCCGAAACGTAAATCTTTTGAGCCTTTAGGTATAATTTCATAAAATTTAGGCGCTAAATAGAGATATGATCGCTGCATTATAGATTTATGCGGTTGAGGAACTACTGTGCCACGAATTTTGTACCTGGTATAATGATTATGTTTAATTTTTTGGTCGGTGTTTACAAATTTATGGTAGTGAGTGATACTGTGTAAGAAATAAAGCTGTCTTATATCATACATTCGAACATCTGCGTATAATTTTTCAGTGGGATAAAGTTTCGGTTTTTTAAATATAAATATTTTTAGAATACTTTTTTGAAA